GTATATATATATAGTGTTATTATTATCATTTTCTTTCTTTTTTTGTTTTTGTTTTATTTGTACAAATCAAACACTTTTGTCACTTTTCTTCTGTCTCTCCGATCAGATCTGACCTGCACAGGTGGTTGGCAGCGTTCCCGAATCCCGATGACCCCAACAATGATCAAGAAGAAGTCATATATGAAGACTGGGGTAAGTGTGGGTGCTTGTTTCTCCAAGCCGCTCAGGTTTATGACTCATTTGTGACATGTTAGTGCTTGCCTTTGATTTGGATCACATTAACCTAATCATGTATGTCTTTGTGTGACAGATTGCCCTCAGGTGCAGTGTGTGGAGCAGTATGTGGCAAACCAAACAGATGAATTAAATCTGGAGCCCACAGAGATCATCAATGTCGTGCGCAAATCTAACGAAGGTGTGTCATGCTATACCTTCCATTTATTGGAAGCACATCTGACATGTTGAAATGTAATCTAACATTGTTTTTGTTCATCAATCTGACGGCTTCTTTACTTCTTTAGGATGGTATGAGGGAATCCGTCTATCTGATGGACAGAAAGGCTGGTTTCCTGTAGCAAACGTACTGGAGATCACCAACGAGCACGTCCGACGACGCAACCTCCGAGAGCGATACCGTGTTATCCAGGCTGCCGGCATTGTCACCAAGACTCGAAGTATACCATAGACTAAATAAACTGCATCCTGGCAGTTCGAGAATTCCTAAAATGGGAATAGGCTTTTAAACTGTAGATGTTTGATACAGACTCAATATGGACAGGAAGTGTTTTGATGTGTCATCCTTTTCAGGATCGGAAATACAATTCTGTTGGAATTTTAAATAAAGAACATGGGAAAGTCAGTGTTGTATGGCTTGGTTTTGTACAACACAAAAGCCGCTTTGGCACTTGTTTAAGTCAATCTCATTTAAGTATGTCCATTTTATTCAAATGTTCAGTTGTTTTGGATCCTAATATGGAATGTACATTGTTTCAGAAACACGTGTGTGTATATATACAGGTATGTGTGAGTCTGTGCGTGCTTGTAATGTTTAGTACTTCTTTCAAGAACGTCAAGCTACTGAAATTCCAGTTGAGCAAAGCAGATGGGTTAAATGGTGCAGTCATGTGTCACATGATAACATATCACATGAACTGATTGGTTGGTTGGTACAAAATATCATGCACTGATCAAGATGTGTGCGACAAACCTGCATGACTAGTCTTCAGTTTTTAATGGAAGCACCGAATGTGCACAAATCAGCTTGTTTACTATTAACAAAATGCTTTATGCTTTGGTACATTGAAATTAAATGTTTTTATACAGTTGGACTGATAAATTGATATTTCCAACCTAGCCAGAAAAAAAAGTCTACCGATCATCATTTACTCATCATGTCCTTCTAAACCTGTATAACTTTGTCTTTTGTAGAAAAAAGCAAAATGTTTATACTGCTCTTTTCTATTTAGAATGACATGAAAGGAAGTAAATTAGGACAGATTTTCATCTCGGAGTTAAAAACCCAGTGTCACATGTGAGTGTCATGATCTGCTCCAGATATTAAACACTGTTGTTTCATGCTTAGAATTTGCTGACTTCTCAGAAATGGCATATTCCAGTGTGTACACTTTCTCTGAATGTGGAATGCTCCATTAAAGCCACACCTCTTGTTTTGTGAGACTGTTTGGATGTGTGGGAATGGGAGTTGGTGTAAATGTACATTAAACTGCATTTTTATGTAAAAACATGATATAGAGAGTAATTTTATTCCCTTTTTAATTAGGACATGTCCTGTGAACAGTTTTTTTTAATGATTAGTTTATTGAATCTGTGGACAAAAGAGTATCTAAAATAAAGTTTACAATGTTTTGTATGATACATTAAGGTTTTATGGCCCATATCGTATGATATAGTGAGAATATGGCGCTCACACTCCAAAGAGGAAAACAACTCGTGTGGGATTTATATGGCCAAAACATAATATTTGGCTAGCTTGTAATGTACATCAGTGAGATTTTTATTACGGTATAGTATAACAGACTACTTACATAAAATACATATAAGTATTAGTATTAGTTTGTCTATATTTCTCCCAATAATATGTCTTAGTTAGATAATATTAAATGCTTAGCTTTATGATCAAATCTGTAGTTTTAATTCCTTGACAGCCCTGTAGTATGATACTTATATAGTAATAATAAAAAAAGATGTATGGATAATCAAGTAAACTTAAGTTGCTTCAAGCTATGTTCATCTTGACACATTACTATTATTATAAAAGTTATTCTTATGTTTACTTACGTAAAATCATTAAAGATTGCACAACAAAAGCACATGTACCACAACCTCTGAAACTGGAAATTGTTAGTTAGATTTATACTAAAAGCCCTTTTGCTTACTTTTACTTACTAAAACAATATGAGCCATCAATCAGAAGGCATGTAGAAGATTACGTACAACAGGTTTTTCACAACAATTTTGATAATGTTGATAATTTAAGGGCTTTAGAAATTCATGGCTAAAATCCATATGACTCTGGCGCCATCTAATGGGCAATGTGCAGTTTGGAGTGCGTTAATTAGTTTGATGCGACAAAGACCTATGACAGAGCTACGGTGACCGAGAAGTGCAAAACAAATCACAATTCACAATTCACAAAACAAAATAACAAATTACAAACGCAAATGCAAGTCTAAATGTACACTTCCACAACCCTTACCCTGCGTATGCAAATCTTTTTGACTTCATTCTACCTTCATAGTTTTCAGAATTGTGATTTGTTTTGCACTTCTCTGGCACCGTACAGAGCAAACATGAGAGGGCAGGAATTTATACATATGAGCTAAAACATACACATAATACATAAATTATTATAAACATTAAATTAATTACACGTTTTATATATAATTTTTTAGATACAATTTTAAAGTTCGTTATAAAATAACAAAAAGCTCGTGCTTTATTTTGGTGGATTTTCGCTTCCGGTTTGATAGCCGCATGGTCACTAGGAGCAGCGTCTAGTCGTGTTGCTCTTGCGGAAGTCATCTTGATCACCTGATAAACGCAGAAATGGCTGGCAGGGTGAGTATTTCTTTCTGATTAAAGTTGTTTTGGTGTCGCACAGAACGAACTCATAATTTCGACAGTCTATTCAGCACTTACAGGGCTCAGCTCCATTCATACGTGCTGTGTTTGCACACGTCATTCACACTCACGCAGTACCGGAAGACAAGTTCTACATCACAGCTTATGACTTTTCAGGAAAACACTACTTTGCAGTGTTGCGGATACAAAAAGTCACGAGGATATTTGCCATTTTTAATGTAGAAGCGACAGCTGTTTTCAAATGTCTGAAGAGTGACTTTGGCAAATGCATGTTAATATAACTGTAGCTGCTTTCATTACAGATAATTGAATCAAGAGTGAATGAGAGTTAATAAATTATAATAGATACATGCTGTTTTTGACAGACAGCAAGGTTATTGATTTATTCAACTACCTAAATGAAAATAAATATACAATATAAGGGTTTAGTTTGTGTTGTGTTTCAGTCATGTATAAAGATTTGGACATACAGAGGTCTGCAGTGTTTTTATTGTTACCTTTTATAAATCATTTTCGTTCATTGAAATAACGCTGGAAAAAAATATTCGATGAAAAACTTGAACTTAAAAATCCTAAACTACAATTGGAAATGTTGCTTTGACAAAGTGAAATAAAATAATTTTAAGTGCTAAAGTTACTAAAACCGAACATGAAATAAAAAGCATATTACCAAATGACTGAAACTTCATATAAATAATAAATAATATAATAAAAGCGAATTCAAATTCATATTATTAAATATTTTAAAAGTATATAAATAATACTAAAATAAAACGGGACTTCTGAGATCACAAGAAAATAGTTACATTTGTTTTTATTTATTATTTGTTTTAAAGCAATTAGATACATTTATTTGTGTTTGTTATATGCAACATTTAGTATTTGCTACATGTATTAATATTAATAGAATTTTTTGACATAACATTCGTTTTTTTTTTTTCCAGATTTTTACTATAATGGGGAAAATTAATAAAATGAAGAACGCAAAAAAACTTAAATTATTTTAAAATAGTGTACAAATTAAAAGGTTCTCAAAGCTAGATTTGATTTCCACAAAATTTACTTGTTTAAATAATAATGATGATGATGATAATAAAACAGCTTGTCAATGTGGTCTCAAACCTTTGGACCCCACTGTATGTGGTTCTTGTGTGTCAGGTGTCTGTTTCTGTTGTATCAGAGAAATAGGATAAGTGGGTCTAAACACACAGTCACACTGCAATATGCATTAGCCAGCATTATGATTACAGGCTGTATATTTAAGGAGATTACGTGACATTCAGAAGGTCTGGAATTCTTCTCATGTTATCATTAATACAACACCAGGGTTTAATGAAGCCCTTCAGTAATCCTGTAAGATCACACAGCATTGCTGTATGTTCTCAGTATTTTTCAGAGCGAGCATCAGCTGGTTAAACATGGAGATTTGTAAGCGTTTGAACAGGTGAATATCAGGTTACAGAAAAAGTAATGGGGGAGTGACTTGTTATTTAGTGAGTATTTGTCATGATAAATATTAGGACTTTAACAGACTGCTGGTAAGTGTTGACATAGGCTTGATATAGATATATTTTTTTTTAGTGAAAAGGATAATAGTCACTGTTTTTTGTTACCAATTTAATGGTTTAAAACACCGTTTACGAACAGTTATGTTTGGTTATCAGTTATCAAATTATCTACATTTTGCCCTAATTGTTTTGGATCAGTATTAGTACTACTAGTAATGATACTTATATTAGTATTTAGCATTAGACTTTAGTCACACAAGAATTTGTTGACTGCACGAATATAGCTTGGATGTCTGAAGTTTGTTGAGGATTATATCTGCATTCTGTTAATCTAAAATCTTGCTTACATTCTTGTAATTAGTTTTATAGACAAAAATGCCACATTTGAATCATTTTTAAATATTTTTGAAAGATGTCTTTCTCACCAAGGTATATGTGTTAGTATGTATGTATATATATATATATATATATATATATATATATACTGTAAAAAATAATACACTACATCTACTCAAAACTGTGGCAACAGTTTACAAGCAATAATATGAATTAAATTCAGCAACTATTGAGAATTGAGTTAGAATTAATCAAACGTGTTCTTAAAAATTAGCCATTCAAATTAAGTAGATGCATTTCACAATTTGAGTTATATATATATTAGTGCTGTCAAACGATTAATCGCAATTAGTCCCATCCAAACTAAACGTTTTTATTTACATAACTGTAAATTTACATGTATTTACATGTATATATTTAAATTCATATAATTTATATTATATATTAATATATTTAATATATATTATAAACGTAACATATTTTTCTTAAATATATACATGCATGTGTGTGTATTTATATATACACATAATAAAAAAAATATACACAGTACACACACATAATATGTGAACAAAAACTTTTATTTTGGATGCGATTAATCGCGATTAATCGTCTGACAGCACTAATATGTATATATATATATATTTATATATTTGTTTTCTGGATAATCCATGACTGTCTTTCCCTTGTTGGTCCTGAGCAGTTCAACTGCCTGCTGTTCTTCACATTCTTTGGTTTTCCAGCATCTTCTGCATATTTGAGCCCTTTCCAACATTGACTGTATGATTTGAAATCCATCTTTTAACACTGAGGACAACTGAGGGACTCATACACAACTATTACAAAAGGCGGAAACATTTACTGATGTTCCAGAAGGCCACACAATGCATTAAGAGCCGGGGGGTGTAAACTTTTTTTAATTGAATGATCAGGGTAAATTATACTTATTTTGTCTTCTGGGAAAAATTATAGTATTTATGTAGCTTCTTAAGTGCATTACCGAATGAAAAAAATATGATCTTTAAACATAAGAAAAATGTACACATCATCATCCTGTTCAAAAGTTTACACCCCCGGCTCTTAATGCATTGTGTTGCCTTCTGGAGCATCAGTAAATGTTTCCGCCTTTTGTAATAGTTGTGTATTGAGTCCCTCAGTTGTCCTCAGTGTGAAAATATGGATCTCAAAATCATACAGTCATTGTTGGAAAGGGTTAAAATATGCAGAAGATGCTAGAAAATCAAAGAATGTGCAGGAGCTGGAGGATTTTTCTGAAGAACAGCAGGCAGTTGAACTGCTCAGGACCAACAAGGGACTCATGAACAACTATCACACAGAAAAACAGTCGTGGATCATCCAGGAAATGACACATAGTATTAAGATTCAATTGTAAACTTTTGAATATATATATATATATATATATATATATATATATGTATATATGTATATAAAATATTTAGAGAGAGGGAGAGGGGGGTCCTTGGCCTAAAAAAATGTAAAGACCCCTGATCTAGACAAATGTGTCTTCTGGACAATAATAGTTGAAAATGATTAATTGTGTTTGAGCTCTTGACTAGTATTGTATATCCAGGCTAAAATTTCATCGTTTATGATTTTGGTATCACTTCTGTGCTTTTCTTGCTTTTTTCTTCTTTCCTGTACAGCTGATGCAAGCAGCGAGATGCCCGACAGATGAACTGTCTCTCACAAACTGTGTGGTTGCAAGTGAGAAGGACTTTAAATCTGGGCAGTGAGTATTTGATGTGTAATGAATCAGAAACGAGATATGTTATTATATTTAAACACATACTGTCTGAACGCATATGTCAAAGAATTTTCTTTTCTTTCTTATTTTTTTTAATTTTGTTATTTATAGACAATTGAGCATTAAAACCACACCCACTCAGAAGTTTGTGTTCACGGTGAAAACCCACTCAAGCGTGGTGCCAGGAACTATTGCCTTCAGTCTACCTCAGGTACACGTTTTGTGTCATCATTAAACAGGCTTTTCTAACGTCCCATGACACACAGTATTCTCTGAATATGTCTTTGTGTAACCACCTTTTTGCCGTCTACTTTGTGAACTGCATTAGTATGCAGATGTACAAGATGTACTGTTGTTGTTGTCAGCATGCTTATTTCTTAATGTCTTGCATTGTTTTTGCCTGCTTCTCCTTCATCTGTTAACATGACAGCAGAAAGACTTCTCAGGTACTATAGTAACTTTCTCACAGTGGTCTTACTTTTGGCATGATGTGATATTTTATCAACATGAGACCAAGAAATGAAACACTACTAGAGACACACTACTTTGGTACACATTTAGTTATTAGTGTGCTTTACAGTAAGACCATCTATCAAGAGAAAGTTGTACAAATATATTGCATTGCTTTTAGCAGTAGGATCTTACAAATAATAACTTTATAATAATTGTGTGGCCTGTAATATACTAAATGCAAGATAATAGAAATTCATTGATATGCTCTCTGTGTCATAGAGGAAATGGGCTGGACTCTCTCTAAACCAGGATGTGGAAGGTATGTGTACCGTTTCACATAAAAACAAATTTGATTGGCTGCAGACTAATAGTGGAATTTAGTTAGTTTGTTCCCTGCTTTCGCTGTGTGTTTATTGATTATTATGTTGTGTGATAACACTTTGGTCGGGTTGGAGAGATGGAAGAACAATAGATGGAACTAGTGAAAAATAATTACTTTTTTAAATTATTTTTAGCCAGTTAGTCAAGAATTTAATTTCTGAAAAATCTGTTTTCATTAGAAACCATTGTCAATTAATTTTGCTTAAAAATTTGGAGACTTTAATGAATATTTAAGTCACCCCAAGAAATATGCAAATGTAGATAAGTTCGCAAAAAAATGCATGTACCCTATTGTTTAAAAGTTTGGGGTTGGAAAGAATTTTTTTTCTCTTGTGCTCACCACAGCTGCATTTATTATAAATATATTAAAAAGTAATATTGTAAAAATATAAATAAATAAATTACATTTTTAAATGACTGTTTACTAATTTGATATATATTAATAATTAGTAATTAGTATATAATTTATTTCTGACTGCAAAGCTGAATTTTCAGCAGCCATTAGTATGACATGATCCTTCAAAAATCATTCTGATATGCCGATTTGGTTTTCAGGAAGAATTCCTTCTCATTACTAATGTTGAAACAGTTGCTTTGCTTAATATTTTTGTGGAAATCGTGGTATATTTCAGGATTCTTTGATGAATGGAAAGTTCAAAAATGTATTTGAATTTGTTTGTGTCTTTGGTGATAGAAGAATAGAAGTATTAGACAACAACAATTTTTCTGATGCCAAACTTTTGAACAGTAGTGTAAGTTGACATTTCTTTGGAGTAGTATTGTTGCAAGTTTCAGATTTTGTCCTATTAAATTGTTTTGGAAAGACACATTTCACACCAAGTCTTGTTTTCATTCACATCATATTAAATATGTTGTCTACCCTGACTAACAACTATAGTATATTTCAACAGTGACAATTTTCTTATTGTACGCTTCCCTCTGGTGTCTTGTTTGCAGTGAGTGTATACAACTTTGACCCATCGAGACAGTACGTGGGAACCATGACACTAGAGATCGACTTCCTCCAGAAGAAGAGTGCTGACAGCAACCCATACGACTCTGATAAAATGGCGATTGAGTTTATCCAGTTTTTTTCCACACAGGCCTTTAGCATTGGCCAGCAGGTGAGCCAGCAAAGCGCTTACAAAATGAATGTCATACCCAAACGTAATGAAGTATAATTAAACCTGTATTGTCTTCCTGGCAGTTTGTCTTCAGCTACTGTGATAAGCTCTTTGCACTGCTCATCAAAGATATCGAGGCCATGGATCCCAGCATCCTTAGAGGCGAGCAAAGCTCTAGCAAAAAACGGAAGGTAGCTTTTTATTGCTTACTATCAAACCATACCTATTCATGTGTTAAAAGAGATATGGCTTTAATATGGTTTGTCTCTATTTGTCTTTTTCAGATTGAGATTGGACTGTTGCATGGCAACAGTCAGGTGATTTTTGAGAAATCGGAGAGCTCGTCTCTAAATTTGATTGGTTAGTGTTTAACTTGTAAACACACCACCATTATGGCTCTGACATATGCAATATGTGTATGAGTCTTCAGAATACTTTCTAATACGGTACCTACAGTATTTAGTTCAGTGTTTAGTCTAGACTTATTAACCTAAGGACCTGTCATGGTTAATCCAATATTGTCAGCTGCTGCTTATAAATAGTCTTTATCATTATTCGCTGCTAACTTGATAGGTCGCTAATTCTTGTGAGTTGGGGTGAAACATGTCACATGCTTTTACTTGCAGGACTTTGTGTTAGCACTTTGTTCAATCATCACTGGAATGTTTTTTTATTTTTATTTTTACAAATATACCATTTATTCTTGTTTAGAATGATCAGAATTACAAAATGAGTTAAGTCCGTTAACATTTTAACTGCACACATTCATTTCCATGTAACGAAAGAAAAAACTTTTCATTACTTTACATTAACATTCACTACCACCTCTATTTTTAGTCTTTGCACCTCAGCAACTCCACAGTGTTTTAAGAACAGTTTAAAAGTTTGCCACAAATCTTATATTTATCCCTCAAAACATAGGTTTTCTTTCCCATTGATATATTTGTTACATTTTTGGAACAACTTGAGGTTGAACTTGATTACATTATTATTATTTTTTTTTAATGCTGCTGACAGTAATAGATGGAGCTAAACATTTTTTTAAAGCATCCTGTATTGGCAATTCATTCTTAATCACATACGAAATTTTCAAATTTGTAATTAATATTTGACAGTACACATCTCATGGTGTTAAATGGGTCATATGATGCTTTTTTAAAGATCATTATTTTGTGTATTTGGTGTAACAGAATATGTTGACATGCTTTAATGTTAAAAAAAATACTGTACATAATGTTTTTTCAAATACTGTACATTATTGTAGGTCCTTTATGCCCCGCCTCTCTCAAACACGTCGTTTTCAACAAAGTCCCTCCTTCCGACAAGTGCAGTCTGCTCTGATTGGCCAGCTGACCCAGTGTATTGTGATTGGCCGAACACCGCAAGCACTCGTCGGAAATGTAACGCCCCTTACCATACAACTATAACGATAAAGGCACAGAGAAACGATATCGTTGGAATCATTTTCAGAACGATTTTTTCCAGCTGATGAACGACAGCCAATCAGAATCCATCCTGCTATAACGAGCTCGAGAATTTAAAGCGGCAGACGCACGTGTGCTTAGAATACACAGACAATTGCTGTGTCTCATTTAGAAGGCTGCGCCCTCCGGAGGTCAAATTCGAAGGCGGCATACGTCATCGAGGCTAATCGCCTCGGTAAAAACGGATAAACTTTGTTTTTAATATCCTCCTCCTTTTTTTCTCTAACAGATGTCTGCTGTACGTACACTGCAGCTCCTCAAACATTGAACAAAATAAAACAAGTAAAAGCATTTTTTTTTTCAAATTACTTTACAAATTTAGAAATAATTTTCCTTCATTTAAGTGGTGTGAGAGCGCAACGATGCTCTAAATGTGTTGGCATAGCAACGTGATACTTCCTGTTTCCTTTTCCGCCTGTGCTACGAAGGCCGTCTCGTTTAATTCTAGGTTGAGGACACTTCGTATATGCATCCTACAGAGGTTGCGACCTCCAGAGGTTTCGACCTCCGGAGGGCGCAGCCTTCTAAATGAGACACAGCTAATATCGTTCGCTGTACGCTAATATCGTTATCTTTATAGTTATCGTTCTTGGTGTGAACGGGGCTTTAAACTAGATTGAGTGATAGGAAATGAAAAACACATTTTGCGAACAAAAGTTAAAGCATGTGTGTAACAGATTAATCCATAAACTTTTATTTCAGTTATATTTCAGTTATATCCAGTCAGTGTCTCAATCAGTGGCTTTGCTTCAATTCAATTCAAATGCTTCAAATAGTGTAACAACCAAACTGCACCACTAGATGGCAGTCAGAACACATGTGGTTTGACTTCAGCTACCTCACTTAAGTGTCATCTCTACTCAAATGTTTTATACATAACTGAATATTTGACGTGGTATAACCTTGAAAAATTAAATATAAATATGTAGTTTCTTTAGTGTTCCTCAGCGGTCTGTTTTTGGTCATTTTTCTCCAGGAAAAGCAAAGACCAGAGGTTCTCGGCAGTCCATCATCAACCCAGACTGGAACTTTGAGCGAATGGGCATCGGAGGCCTGGACAAGGAGTTCTCAGACATCTTCCGCCGGGCCTTCGCCTCGCGAGTCTTTCCTCCAGACATAGTGGAGCAGATGGGTGAGTCTCTTCTCTCCCTCTGGCACTTTAAAGTGAAAACTACAGCTACTCCCTTTATAAGCGACTAACTTCTTTTCTTAGCTTGCTTTGGGTACCAAGTGGTCCAGGACCGCCACTAGTGCTCCCTCAAAAAATAAAAAGTGCATGACACCCTTGTTTCTCTCTTGGAAAGACAAATCTCCTCTTTTTTTCTTCTCCAACCACATCCCTCTCTATTTAAATGGCCAGTGAGGCAGAGGCACAGCATGTTGTGGGCGACATGAAACACCGAGGACAAAGCCAAAATATATAAGAGTTTGGACAGACAGTTTTCAGACCCTCCCAGCACCTCATCCTAACCATAAATGAGAGAATTGCTCTGCTAGAAAAAAACATCCTCATGTTGTCTTCTCCTTTGCCTCTGGCTTACGGTCAAAAGCCTAGTTTGAATTATATCCTCAGACTGCAGTCTGATTGTGTGTTTATGATTTATATTCAGCCTTTATACAGATAAACAATTGTTAAAGATGCTATCCAGCAGACACATTCCCATCAGATTGACTCCTGCAGCGAAAGCATTATAATCATTTTCAGTTGAAACTGCTGTCTACGTTCAGTTCTCAGCTTTTAGACACTGGGTGTCTTTTGCCAATATTTGTGAACAAGTGTTCTTACTTGTGTGCAAAAAAATGTTCTCACACTGAATTTCGTACAGATTCTCAACAGGTGCTCATTCCTTAATGAGGAAGCGCATGTCAACGGTGAAATATTACCATAATACACAGCCAAACCATCTCTATATGAGGACTTTCCCCACAACATAACCTGCACTGATGCAGTTGTGGCATACACACATCAAGACCTTCGATTAAAACCTTTTTTTTTTTTTTTACCTAGAGTACATTTGATTGTGTTTTGGACCTCTCATAAAGCAGCTATACCTACTGTTGCACTATAACGTTTTGTTACTCTGAAACAAGAATGACTTATTTCTTGTGTTGTTTAGTTGTTAAATTTCTAATAATTATAACTAAATATTTCAGTTTAACACAATCCATTTTTTTCTAAGGCCACCAGGAGTGTGTGGTTTTTGTGTACATGTGGTTTCAGTTGGTTTATCCATAACTGTTAACACTTAGTTTGTGGTTTAATTATCATTTTATACCATTCTGAACTTGCCAAACTTTGCACAAGAATGTTTAAATGTGCTAAGTCAAGCATTGTTATTACTGTTGCTCATTTTTAAGATTTAGGAGTTTGAATAAACCCAGAATACCCTAGTAATCATCCACCAACAGCATAGCAACTACCTCCAACACCCTGTCAGCACCTACAATAAGCCTAGTATAGTTTTTTGTACGTTTCAAATGGGGTTTTCTTTAAAGCATTGTCCTCTACAGACTTCATCTAAACATTCTGAAACTGAGAACTTTGTTGTTTTGCATTGAAAATGAACGGTTATGAAGGGTGTATTCCTGTAAGCTGCCAGATGACTTGATCATGCACACATACACACGTACACAGACAGCCTTCGGAGTGCAGTGTGTGTGTGAGAGAGAGCGAGAGATGACCTCTGTGGTGTGATGGCTGCAGGAGTTGGCCTCTGGCTCGGGCAGCTGGCTGCTCTAATGAGATGGCGGGTCTTGATAGTGCAAAGGTGAGCGCTTAATTGGGGTTGGTTTTGGAGCCCAGGTGCTGAAGGAAGGTGCGGGTGTGTGTCTGAGTATGTTATTGTCTGACAGCGCTTGGGTGGGAGTTTACACCAGTACACCCAGTTTCTCCCAAAACTCCCACCAGCTAAAGGTCATTTCGTTCTGCCCAGCCACAGCCTCGTTTTTCTCCTCCGTGAAAAGTCAGGAAGCCTGCCCTCCCTCAACCTGAGTCTGTCATCAGGAGTAAATGGCATACTGATTCTCATCTCAGGCCTGCTGGTTATCTCCAGCTTTCCCGCTCTCTCCAAATGGCAGCCAGCAGATGTTGTTAACCAAAAACAGGGCTCTTGTCTGAGAAATGCCATTGCTCATCAAAAAAGACCCCTGTGCTACTTTGAAAACAGATGTATTAGACACTTCGCCATTCTTTTTGTGTGTGCTTTATATATGGGTTTAGCTTTTTATTTTTTTACTCCGCAAGGATGTATTAAATTGATAAAAAGTCATAGTAAATGCATTTTTAGTGTTACCAATGATTTCTATTTCAAATAAATGCTGTTCTTTTGAACTTCTTTTGAACTGTTTAAAAATATTAAACAGTACTGTCAGCACTGATCAGCATATTAGAATGATTTCTGAAGGATCGTGTGACACTGAAGACTGGAGGAATGGCTTTTAAAAATACAGCTTTGCCATGCTTAATTAAAATAGAAAAGCGTTATTTTTAATTGTAATGATATTTGACAGTTGTACTGTATTTTTGATCAAATAAATGCAGATTTGGTGAGCATAAGAGATAAAAAAAAAACTTGAACAACAATGTATTTATTTAGCAAAAAAAAAAAAAACTAAGTTGTGTGCATTTACCTTTATTCAAGGTGTAAGGAAAAAATGTGTTGTCTTTTTACTTGGTTATACAACATGACATGAGTTGGGCATGTTTTAAACTCGTTTCTTAAAAGACTTTTCCTTTTATTTATTGTGAACACTCTTATACAGTTTGTCATTGATGCTTATACCATTTTGTAATGTCTTCTGTTTCATACCCTCCGGTTTTGACTCTTTCCACAGGCTGTAAACACGTGAAGGGGATCTTGTTGTTTGGGCCGCCCGGCTGTGGTAAAACCCTGATGGCGCGTCAGATTGGTAAGATGCTGAATGCCAGAGAGCCGAAGGTGGTCAACGGGCCAGAGATTCTGAACAAATATGTGGGCGAGTCAGAGGCCAACATCAGAAAGCTGTTTGCTGATGCAGAGGAAGAACAGAAGAGGGTAAGAAACCAGGAAAGAAGATGCAGGGAAAAGAGATTGCATGCAAATTATGAAAAACCTCCATTCTTTCATGCACTTCACAAATCACTGTTATCTTAGAAAGGCCATGCAGACGTTTTGCACAACCTTACATTCATCTGGCTCTGTGACGGAACCCACCGCTATTTGACACTTTAAAGAAAGGTTGCTCTGTCAACAGTAAAAAAAAAAAGTCATGGCGAGCAAACTTAGGTTTGTACAAAGGATGCTGTTCCCAGTTTTGGGCACTCCAGCAGCTTTACAAATAACTCCAAATTGCTGAAATATACTTACTGAATTACTGTAAATGGCCTAGTGTTTGCTTAGAAACATGATCATAGTTTTATTTTTTTCCTCAAGGGTGATGTGTCAAGAAGTGCTGGCAGTGAACTGCTGGTTCTGGCCATGCTTGAGTGTGATGTTGTGTTGGTAGACAGTGTGACTACATGACGTTGAAGAGCTCACTCGTCACCTTTTAATGTGAGAGTGTTGGGCTATCTCTAAGCCCTCACCCTGACTCACGGGAGGCCACGCACACTCATCCTGGCCTCCCATCTGTGCTAAATGTTACGACATAGCCTCTGACAGCCTCCCAGATGAAGAAGATAACTCTTAGTCGTGGGCCATTGTCACAGAGTTTATACAGTCACAGTCCATTCACCAACCTGGCATTTAAGCAGGGAGCTCAAGAGAACTATGCACACAAGTTTTAAAGAGGATATCAAAACAAAAGAGTTTTTAGGCTTGTCATTTAACCTGACTTTTTATTTTTCTTTAAGGCTATTGATTCTGCTACTAAATTGTTTCTATTCTGTGGTTTTACTGTTACCTAAAACAAACTAAAACTATTTAAAAAAAAATAATTATTTTAAATAAAGCTGCAATAAAATAAAAGAGAAATATTCTAATTAATATAAATATTTGATGAAAAACTTTTAAACACTTGAGTTTTTATTAAATGTATTAAATTAAAATGTAGAAATGTTCACAAGTTCTTGGCAACTAACTAAAATAAATGTACTTTTACCTAAGTTTACGTTTAAATACTAAAATTACTAAAATTGAAATAAAAGGTAAATAGAAATATATGTTTTTTTAAAAACAAAA